GGGACTGGAATACTGACAATTTTTGAAAGGTCGCCGCGTAACGTTACGCAATAAAAAATCCATAAATATGTTAAATCTATTATAAAAATGACGTTCATAATGTGCAGATACATGTAAAATTTTGTAGTGATGATGACAAACGGAAGGATACCGTGGTCTAGTCACATATACGAAGTTACTGTATGTTTGAGTACTTAGTTGTTAACGTTTGTGCTGTAGTCATTAAAAAGTGGTATTCCTATTTTCCAATAATTAAAGTGAACTGTATGTTTATTGTATTTTTATTATTTATATTATTTAACATTACATTATTTATTTTATTAAGTTAATATTATTTTATTATTTATTTCATATTTATTATATTATTTATGATGTTTTTATTCTTTGCAAAATGCTTTACATATAATAAACAATTGCACATTTGGAACGATCTTTGTATTTCGATTATTTTAAATTAACTTTTTAAACGGTGTTAGGTACTTCTATGTGGATATTTGTAATTTGTGAGTATAGGGTCGTGGTATTTTCATCCCCACCCCCACTAAAATAAGCGACAGTGAGTGCGTTTTGACATGTAAACTTTATTAGATCATTGGATTATAACAAAGGAATGTAATTAGTGAAAACGTCCTTAATTTTCCAAAAACTATGAACAATTTGATATTATACAGCGTGTACATACATTGTACTACCGACAAATTCGAGGTGCAATCTTTCGAATTTACCTCTCAAAGATTGCCAAATAAGACTCAGCCCCTTCATATAAACCCCTAAAAATTAGCCTAAAAATCCAAAATTGGCCGAAAACTGCCAAAAATGTGTAATAATGTATTAAACTACCCAGAAAAAATTCGCTCATGGCGGGAGTTGGTTTCTTCTACAATCTCTTATAAAACATTTCAAAAATTCCAGCGTACATTGAAAATTGAAATATAGAAGTGAAAGTCTTAAGTAAATAAAGAGTGTAAAGGATAAGGAGACCCGTAATGTAAAAGCCCTTTGTGCACACTCATTCATATTGCGGAAGTTTATTTCTAGAGAAGTGGCGAATTTTAAAATGATAATCGAGCATCGGGGAGGAGAATGACAATTCTCCTCCAAACAGCGGCTGAACTCGGCCTATAGCAATATTGCTAGCGTTTTTATAGCAAAGTTTCTAGTGGTCGAAAACGCTGCTAGGGTCAGATTTCGAACCCTAGAACTGCCCGGCCAGTGGCACTGCAGTTAGATCAGTTGATGCCCTCGGCCACCTCAATCGGTCCAAGAGTACGAATTACACGATAAAATTACCATTTTCATGATTTAAATTAAATTTTGTTTTACTACTGATATATTTGTTTGTTACTTATTATATTATTACTCAATTCAGTATGTACTATATACAGTGACAGATAATTTCCTATAGTAAACAGGAAAGGCAAAAAATTATGAAATTTTCTTGTTGCATATTAATATTTAAAATCTCCTCTTTAATTTGAATTATAATGTATGGATCTTTGCAGCTTGTAAAGTCTTCAAAATTACTTTTGAAAAGAGGGGGCATGGCCAGTGGAAGAGGTGGTATAAGCAGCGGGCTGTAGATTGAGAGGTGATTATTTGAGATACATACCAATTCTCCGTCACTGCTTCCATAACTCTGAAGGACCACCATGAATTAAGGCCCATGGAAACTGTTTCTACCTGTAAAGCTACTCGAATGGGAAATAGTTCCCATCAGACAGAATTAAACACACAAATGAATTAAGAAGTATAATGAAACTGTTTGAATAGTTACAAATTAAGAATGAGATCAATATGCTGCATGAAAGCATATTTCAATTAATTTAAAATGAAAGAACCTGTTAAATATATATTGCGGTTGCAATATTCGAGAAACACGTTAAGCCACTCAGGTAGTAACACACAGTCTTACATTCGCGTATAAACACGTCAACAGCTTGAATGAATGTAATTAGCAATATACAAAGTATGCCATGTCTTGTACTATAACATAACACGATTAACAGAAGGTGCACTAATAAGATGTTCTACAGAAGTTACGAATGAGTGTATGGCACATTGCGAAAGTGTAAAGGAAGAATGAGCTCGTTGCTGGAGCCACACGCGGTGCACCCCGTCAACATATGCGACGAACTGGCTGACAAGCGCTGCCGCCGGCTCAGGCCGGTGGCGCGTTCCCAGCCTTTTGGAGTCGTAACCTATGAGATCAGCCTTCTAAAATTGCAATGACGGAATGATTAGGGCAATGGCTGTTTTAGAATTAAAATTAATTACAGCATTAATTGACATTTTGAATTACAGGTAGCTTCGAGCAACTGACAGCTGTGACGTATATCTCAATATGCGATTTGCTTTGTTTACTTTGTATTACCACGGTAGAATTCCAAATGCCAAATTCCGAAGTTGGCGCCACTTTTACGATCTTAATTAGTCTATACGGTGTTCACATGTAATACATGCTACTGTGAGTGTTTATATTGTATTGCTCTGCACTTAGTGAGTATTTGTTTCTCTTCAGAAGTCAAAAGTGTTATTAAAGGGGTGATTTATTTTCATTGAGTGATTTATCTTCTTTTGCATGATTAAAAGTAATTTACGTGATTTTAAGAACAGGAATGAAGCCAAATTCAATTGTTAGCTAAATCCATCTTCACCAAGAAGTGAAGAAAATTTCACAAAGGTTAGTTGTTCTAGAAAGAAACGCTTGATAATGAGAGATGTGATGATTGTACAAATGAAAAACAAGAAAAAAAATGTGTGTATGGACGGCATTGTGACGTATATTACGTCAGTCCTATAACGCGTGCGGCTCTGCGATCGCGCCCGGCCTCTGATCGCCAGAACCTTTAAGCCTCCGGCCGGCCGTAAGAACTGCAATGCATTCACTGTTCGCAAATGGCGCTAATGTGCTCCTGAGTCCACTACAGCGCTTCGAGTCTTCGAAATGAGCTCAAATTTCGTCTACATACAGACTGTGTCGGAACTGAAAATTACAAAAAATATTTTCTACAGGAATCTATGCTCCTAAAAACAAAATAGTAAATATATTTGTGGCTTCCAAACACTCCTAGAGGCAAGCCAATGCGGAGTTTCCTATGTAAAAATAACTTGCCGCTCACCGCAAAAACAATCGAGTCCAAGTGGAGGAAATTTCCACAGGAATTCACCTCGTATTATTTCTCACAAAGAATATGACAGAAAATGTGCTGTAGTTGTTTCTCTCCGCTCTCTCTTCTCTCTCTCCTCCCCATCTTCCTTCATCTCTCTTTCTCTCTCATCTCTATATATACATATATATATATATATATATATATATATAAATATATATATGTGTGTGTGTGTGTGTGTGTGTGTGTATGTGTATTCAATTACCTTTATCTTTATATTCTAATCCTGTTATCGCATATCTAATACCTTTAAGCTTACAATATTGTCCGTTTAAATTATTACTATTGCATCAGTTTGGTTAACTAATTGTCTCTGTAATCTAATCTCTTCCATAACTCCCATTACCAATAAATCTGAATTTCTGCACTGACCCAAATCCTTCATTAATTTGCCACCATTTGAATCTTATATTATGAATTTTAATTTTTGGCTTTCAACACGGATTATTCAATCGTGAAAAATGACTGCAAATTTGTCATCCCCTCCCCTATCACCGACGGGATGATGCCCCATTGTAACATTGCATAAATACTTATGGATGTTGACAATGCTTCAGCGTTGTGCTTCACTTGGCGTTGTCTTGTACCGCTCGGCTCCACTCGTTTAAGTACGGCGCCTTCCAGGTGGAGAGCGTCCATCACACTCCACTCCACCGGTGCTCACTCGCAAAACGAGAACGTGGGTCCCCTAAATGTTTGACCAGGAACACTATAACGCTCACAACTTGTTACGTAACTTAACGAATTTGCATAACCATGTCCCTGCATTACACCATGATGAATTGCTGTTCTAATAAGGACAGAATTCGATCTCTTGCGTCACGTGGCTATCGCCCACTACCGATGCCAATTATTCCACTTTTCTTAGCGTTCTACGCCTTACGCGATATCTATCACGGTTGATCAGCAACCGTTTGATTTATCACATCGCATCTAGACATTTACATTTTGTTACTGTATTTCACTTACAACAGTCATGTCGTTTCTGTCCGTATCGGCACATCCGTTCTCTCTGGCGTCTGCGTCTCTAGTGGCTCACGTAACGCCCGTCTCGCCTATCTCGAGCTTAAATCGCGCCGAAGAACCGTTCACCGTCCGCGGTTCGCGACGTAGCTTCGTTTTTGCTCACCTATTTTAAATGACTTTGTTAATTATAAATGAAATCGATCGGGTGTGTGTGTATATTATATATATATATATATATATATATATATATATATATATATATATACATATATATATATATATTGTAGCCACACCCTTCACGTGGCTGACCTGACTCACCTGATTCCCTGTATTTCGTCCGATCCAGCGTTGCCACGGCTGCTCAGTTTGCAGACTCCCTAGAGGTAGGCATTTGTGATAAGTCTAACTCTAATGCTACTACTACATTTAAACATATTGTTTCATTTTAAATTGTGGTTTTATTGCTCTTTCTCGAACGAGGTGAAGCCTCAGGCAAAATTAATTCTTAGAGCTACCTTATATCTAATCTTATCTTATATGGCCATCGGCTACCGGGCGTTGTCCTTCCGGACGGTCATGACCCTTCCCGCGGGAGCGGCGGCCCCACGCCCCGGCGTTTGTGTGGTGGATCGGGCGTCAGGCTGCGTCTCGCCTCCCGTTTTGCCCTTCAACAAGGCGGTCGGGAGGCAGGCGACGCCCTCCCCGGTGGTCACGTGAGCGGTGGTCGTCGGCCGGCTGCGCCTCGCTTCGACCCTTTGTCCATCAAGAGGGAGGTCGGGGCGGCAGGCAACGTGGCGCGGTCGGCGTCAGGCGGCGTCTCGCCCCACCCCTTCGCCCACTAGCAAAGGCGGTCGGGCACTTACAGTTGTGGCCCACTGTGTTCGTTCAGTGCCTCCGTCCCTGCAGGCGGCCTGTGATGCGGCAATGCATTCGGGTGGCGGCGCGGCGGCCATAGGGCCATGCATCTGCTGGCGACCCCCCGTGTGAGGCAAAGCAACTCGCCCTCGCCTCGGCAAGCCCACCTACTTCTTGTTGCGTCCCTGATTAGGATTGGAATCGTAATCGCAGATCTAGCGTCTTTCAGCTGCCTCGTCGGCTTCGCGGGTCACGTGGCCATTCCCCGCTTCATTTCCCGCGATTGGCGGGCGCTCGTCGCGCGGTTTCTTCCGCCCAATCGCGGCGTCGTTGACGGGAGCCTGAGTCTTGCCAAATTCTGCAAAACTCAAACGTCATCCATGTTCCGAGAAAAGGGTGCAGTGGCGATGCGACACGAAGACAACGGCGTCCGTATTTTCCCATGAGACTCCGGACGCGGCAAGGCGTAGGTTGGGACGAGACAATAGAGATGGATGCCTCAGCGTCGCCGATGCCCCGGAAGCAACCTCCGTCATGCTGCAACCCCCACTTGTTCGAAATTCAAAATTAACTAGCCTATAATTTTGTACTAACGATATTATAATGATTATATTATAATGGGACATAAGTGTGCCACATACGTCAGATGGACGACGCGTGTTTTATTAAAATTATATTGAATATAACGTTGCTGCAGACAGACATATCGGCGCAGAGGAACGTGATCTCGTTTTCTCTACACTTGTCCCAAGGCTTCGGACTCCCTGGTCGAGCCTCCTGACCTCTCTATTAGTCATCTCATCTACAGCATGTGCGTAGCTCTATCTACCACCTACCAGCGCAACTATCCTCTCCATCTCTATCACATTATACAAATTTCTGTACTCGACTATAAAACTCATCCCCTCGTCGGCTCCACCGACCACGTGCGTGATATGCTAATACTCTCACTATCATATCTCTAGTATCCTGCAACTACCTAACATTATCCTACTACATTATGTACTAATTTTCTACGGCATTCAACTACAGGTAGTGCACCTTGTGACAACGAACAAGATATCTTTCTTAAGGCGTTTTTTACGCTACCTGAAGTCCAATTGAATATCAAAACAGTTCTGTTGCAGTTTTTATGAAGCATTGTTTATAGAAAATTAAACGCTGCCTATGTTTGGAAGCAATTTTTTCCAAAAACATACTCATATTTTCATAAAATAGGTTTCAATGATATTAATTAAAGCTCTTATTTCTTGATAAACACAATTGCATTAAAAAATCTCATACAAATATAAGCCATTATTCAAATTAACGTGCAAGATCTACAACATTCTCATTAAGCATTATATACTTTAA